ATAGTCTTTTTTTTTTTTTTTTTTTTTTTTTTTTTTTTGGTTTTTCGAGACAAGGTTGCTCTGTGGCTTTGGAGGCTGTCCTGGAACTCGCTCTATAGACCAGGCTGGCCTCGAACTCACAGAGATCCGTCTGCCTCTGCCTTCCGAGTGCTGGGATTAAAGGCGTGCGCCACCAACGCCCGGCCAGTGGTATAGTCTTAATGCTGATCAGCAGAGAAGTAAGAGCATGGGAGTTGGTGTGTGTGTGTGTCATTTCTATTTTGTTTTGAGACATGGTCTAGTTTATAACCTAAACTGGCCTTGAACTTCTGATCTTGCTTTTCAGGGTGTGTACCACCTCACCTGACTTGCTATTGTAGCTTCCTGAGTCACTGGTACTGCAGGTTCATGCCATAGCTACCATTAATTATTTCTTCCTCTCAATTCTGCTGGTCAAGATGTATGGAAATGGGAGGGGAACTATATATATTGGATGACTACTTCATTGGCAGTTTGGAGGCCCTTTCACCCACATTTTATGAGATAGGTTTTATCTCGGTATAGGTAAGAGAATGAGGCTCGGAGGTTTTTTCAAGCTAAATGAAGTTGAACATTTTGATATTTGTTTGGTACAGTATTACCAAATATTAAAGTATGATTTAGTTCTTTTAAACATTAATCAAAAATTTAAATTTGATGTTTGTTATATCTCCTAAGCAATTTTCTGACTGGCCATTAAATCTCTTAGTCACATTTGGTGCCTTGGTGCCTGCACTTTACTCTAATTGACCTTTGTGTACTTCATAGTCCTCAGGTAAATCTTAACTCAATGCACCTTAGGACTGCTGAAGTAGATGTCTTGTTGGCTCCTCTTCTGCTGATTGTACAGACTGGACTCTTTCTGTGATTTCAGCTCTTAGTGTAAATACCACCTTATAGAACCCTGTGTGTTGTTTTAATGCAGTCGCCCAACACTTTTCATTACCCTACTTTCTCTGCAGAGACTATGCTTCCTTTGTTGATTTCCTTTTTTTTTTTTGCTCCATAACTTCTGTCAGGTCAGGGACCTTGACTTTTTAAACTTCATTTCCCAGCAGTTGACACGTATGCTGAGAAAAACTGAAGCCATCAGGTTCCCTTTAATTGCCTCCATATCTGTGTGTTTGCTGTTGTCTAAACCCATTCTGGTCCCCTTTCTTCTAGTTTTAGGAGTCTGTTTAGATGGTGTGGTCCTTCTGACTTGCATTTCAAGTTTCATTTCCTATTGTTTTACCAGGAATTTATTATCGTTCTCTTTGTTCTCAATGTCAAACATGTTCAGCTTTCTTTAAAAATAAAAACCTGTGGGTGGGGGGTGGGTTGGGGGTTGGTGGGGAGCATGGGGAGATGGGAGGGTAAGGGAATGGGGGGATTGATATGTAAGAGTGCTTCTAAAATAAAAAAAAAAACAAACAAAAATAACCTGGGCTGCCGGGCGTTGGTGGCGCACGCCTTTAATCCCAGCACTCGGGAGGCAGAGGCAGGCGGATCTCTGTGAGTTCGAGGCCAGCCTGGTCTACAGAGCAAGTTCCAGGACAGCGTCCAAAGCCACAGAGAAACCCTGTCTCGAAAAACCAAAAAAAAAAAAAAAAAAAAAAAAAAAACCTGGGCTAGAGAGAAGCTCCTTTAGTAGTGCTTGTCTAGTGTGTATGAAGATCTAAGTTCTATCCTAGCACTACATAAGAAAGCAATCGGAGAATGGTGTCCTATACTTGTAATAGAGGCCAGCCTGGAATGAGGCCTTGTCCTAATAAACAAAAAGTCTTCAGTCACAAGACTTTTGTGGTCTTTGCTGAGTCGTTTTCTACATATTTATGGCATATGCTAATAAGTTCCTAGTTGCTTAGTGTCAGTCAGTCTTCCCTCTACCCAAGATGCACCATATGTATCTGAGACCATGTAGCAATTTTATTATAAAGTATATGCTGAGCTGTGACATCAAATTACAAAGAGGTTTGGAATGTCATACAAATTGGAAACCATTTGTTTTATTATATAAAATTTTAACTGTCCAGCTTAGAATATAATAGTCTTTTGAATGGAGCCTTTCTTCTTGGTTAAGTTGTTCCTTTCTTAGTGATTCATAGAATGAATAACTGCCTAAAGTTATGTTAAAATATTTATACATCAAGTATTTTTGATGAGGTAGCTAGTCTTTATTTGCTGGCCTTACATAAGGCTATTTTCCAAGAGTGTACCAGAAATGATCTGCCGAGAATAAAATACATAGTTGCTGATGAGGCTTGCTCCTGCCTCTGAGTATTGACATTATATCGGGTGTATTATAGGTGTGTGCCATCACACCTGGCAGCTGGGACCGATTTTAAGGAAGCATGCCTAACTAAGCATATGTCTCACTATGATATTTTTCATGAAGAGTTGAAAACAACATAATTCCAATAGGAAACAAAGATAGCTAAGATATATTTATTGAATGGATAATTTAGACATCACAAAGGTCTATCTGCAAGTACTCTGCTAATAATCTTTTTTTAAATTTAATTATTTACTTTTTATTTTGTAGATGGTTGTGAGCCACCATGTGGTTGCTGGGAATTGAACTCAGTACCTCTGGAAGAGCATTGAGTACTCTTTAACCTCTGAGCCATCTCTCCAGCCCTACTTTTTATTTTATATGCATTGGTGTTTTGCCTATGGGTAGATTTGTATGAGAGTGTCAGAACTTGGAGTTATAGTGTTGAGTTGTGTGTGGGTGCTGGGATTTGAACCCAGGTTCTCTGAAAGTCAGCGCTCTTAAGCTCTGAGCCATTTCTCCACCCCTCTTTCTTTTTCTTTGCTTCTGCCCACTTAAGTTGTAGAATTTAAATAGTGTTTTCCTTTATGGTTTGTCATTTTCATGGTGCTGTTTATGAAGTAATGCAGTTTTCGTGTAATATAAAGCTATCTAGACTTGACTTCCACATTTAGGTCAGTAATCCACAGAGAATGTATGCATAGACTAAGATGATGGTTTAGTTCTTTTTTTAATCTCACTATGGATACTCAGTTATTCTAACATTTTTTTTTGAGAAATACCACTTCCTTGATACAAATATAAGATCTGTGTCTGTGTGGTCTGTTTCGGGACTTTTTGTCTAGTAGTGTCTTGTTCAGACACAAGGATAATTAGTGTAAATAGCACAAATTAGACAATAGGAATAAATACAAATTACCAATTTTTGTAAGAAATAGATGATGGCGGAGGGCACTGGAGAGATGAGATGGTTCTGTTGGACCCTTCTCCCATAGGAGTCTGCTGAGAGCACTGGCTGCTCTTCCAGGGGTCCTGAGTTTAATTCCCAGCAACCACATGGTGGCTCACAACCATCTATAAATCATTTCAGGGCCCTCTTTTGGCAGTGCAGGCAACATACTGTTGTTACATAATAAATAAATGTTTTTTTTTTTAAAAGCAATAGATGATGGATGATTTAGAAATAAAGATTGTTATATTGGATTATTAGTCTAGATTTAAGAGCTGAGTGTGGCGACATGCTCATGTAATCCTGGCACTTGAGATATGAAAGCAAGGAGGACAGCCTGCATGAGACCTCAAAACATCTGAAGCAGGGGCTGCAGAGATGACTCAGCTATTATAGAGACCTGGGTCTGATTGCCAGCACTGGAATATTGGCTGTAAATTCCAGTTCCAGTGGACCTGACAACCTCTTTTGGGCTCTATGGGCACCAGACATACACACTGTATACATATACATGCAGGCAAAGCACCCATCCACATAAAATAAAAATAAAATGAAACAAAACAAAACAACCCCCCGAACAAACAAATGTCATTTTTAAATGAGGCTTACTTAAAACACAGGAACTCAGGAAATTTGAAAGTAAAAGATGGGGAAAAGAATTACCAGCAAATCTTACTGATAAACGGTGGTATGTATATGTAATGTAAAGAGAAACCAGAACATTTTTGTTTTCTTAGGAAGAAATGGGCATCTCAGTTCACTTTCCAGTATTGCTGGGCTTAAGGCCTTTATGCTCTGTTCCTTAGTGGATATTAAAACTCAAATCTATGGACCAGAGCAGAGATTTGTCTTCCAGGATGGCCATGTTCTTCCTATCTGCCCCTGAACCCCTGGGAATTTTTTTTTTCTTAAACTCACAGAATCTGCCTGCCTCTGCTTCCAAGTACTGAGATTAAAGGCATCTGCCACCATACCCAGCTCTTGCTTTTTTTTTTTTTCCTGTTTTGTTTTTTCAAGACAGGGTTTCTCTTTGTAGCCCTGGCTGTCCTGGAACTCACTCTGTAGATCAGGCTGGCCTCAAACTCACAGAGATCCACCTGCCTCTGCCTCCCGAGTGCTGGGATTAAAGTGTACCCTGCCTGCTATATTTTATTTCATCTTTCATATTTTCAGACATTTGTGGGAGATTCTACCCCCATCCCTGATTGTGTTGTCTGTACTATTAGTCTTTCGGAGAGTCTTTTGTTGCCCCAGGTTCTGGGTTGAACCCACAGTATGGACATGGTAGGCAGGTGCTCTGCCACTGAGCTATACCCCCCAAGTCCTCTTGGGGCTGGGCAGATGCCGCGCCCACTGCACAGCCTGTATCTCACAGGCAGATGGTTTAGAGGGTTAAGATCACATGCTGCTCTTGCAGAAGACCTAAGTTTGGTTCTAGCATGCTGGGACCTAAGTTTGGTTCTAGCATGCTGGCTCATAACTGTTCTAGGGGATCTGACTCTCTTTTGGGTTCTGTGGGTACCCATACTCACATGCACATGCCCCAATACATGCACACACATATAACTTAAATAATTCAGAAAACCACCAATCTGTGTAGGAGGGTCACTAGTACAGAGTGGTTGCCTATGGCTTTGGGCTACATATAATTTCTTATTATCCTCATGTATCTTTCATATTTATGCAAATAGCACATATTTCATAGCTCGTAACTAAACAAGGAAAGCTGTCCTTTAAGGTCCTCTGAGTAATAGCCCTTTTTTCCCCCGTTTGTTGCAGGTGGTGCGGTTGTGTCAAAACCCAAAGCTGGCGCTCAAGAACAGCCCACCTTATATCTTAGACCTGCTACCTGACACCTACCAGCATCTCCGCACGGTCTTGTCAAGATATGAGGGGAAGATGGAGACACTTGGAGAAAATGAGTATTTTAGAGTGTTCATGGAGAATTTGATGAAGAAGACTAAGCAGACTATAAGCCTCTTCAAGGAGGGAAAAGAAAGAATGTATGAGGAGAATTCTCAGCCTAGGTAATGGAGAAATACTACACAAATATTAATTCAGGTCTGTGATTGTCAGATGGTAATGTTAGAAATAGTTGAGTTGCTTTGAATTTTATTTTAATAGGAATAGAAAGCTCACATTTGATATAAATGGTAACCATTTGGCCATTTTGGGCCAGATAGATTTATCTGTGAAAGAAAGAGTGATTTATACTCATGCAAAAGGTTGCAGGCAGTAGAGCCTTTGGATCCCTAGAGATAGCAGACGTTTGTGTGTAGATGAGAGTTTGAAAGAGGGTAGAGGTTAAGCTGAGGTTAGCAGAAGCTGCAGAAGATTGATAAATCACAAGTCAGATAAGGACAAACAACACATTGCTTGAAATTGGCTTTTGTTTTTTATTTTAATTTTATGTATTTAATCTTTTGAGAAAGGGTTTCTCTGTGTAGCCCTGGCTGTCCTGGAACTTGACCTATAGACCAGGCTGAGATCTGCCTGCCTCTGCCTCCCTAGTGCTGGGATTAAAGGTGTGAGCCACAGCTACCAGCATTTTTAAATTTTACACATACATATGCATGTGCTTGTGTGGGTGTGTGTGTCTGTGTGTGTACAATGTATAGGTAAGGGTTCTTTCCCTCCACCATGTGAACTTTTGGGTAAAGAACCCAGATCATTTGTCAGCAAACACCTTTGCCTGCTGAACCATTCCTTCAACTTTTTGTTTTTTGGTTGTCCTGGCACTCACTCTGTAGACCAGGCTGGCCTCGAACTCACAGAGATCATCCTGCCTCTCCCTCCTGAGAGCTGGGACTAAAAGCATGCACTGCCACCACCACCCAGCCTTTTTTTTTTTTCAAATAAAGCAAATTGAACTGCAATTTTCTTTATGTATAAGAGTAATTTTTAGGCCAGGCATTGGTGGCACACGCCTTTAATCCAAGCTCTCGGGAGGCAGAGGCAGGTGGATCTCTGTGAGTTCAAGGCCAGCCTGGTCTACAGAGCGAGTTCCAGGACAGCCTCCAAAACAATGCAGAGAAACCCTCTCTCTAAAAACCAAAAAAAAAAAAAAAAAGTAATTTTTAGCTAGAATAAATAGAGACAAATGTATAATACCTGCCTTCTCCTGGTGTTGGAGTTAGAACCCAGACCTCATGCATGCTAGGCAGGTGTCCTCCCTTTAAATGCAGTTAGGCTGTGTTACATGTTTCTAGCTTGGTTATTGTAAATACCTACTGGCAAAAACTAGGTCGTGGGTTTTGTTTTATCCAGTTGGAAATAAATATTAACTTTCTGGAGTAGATAATATAAATTCCAGTTGTTCTTTTCCACCCTAAATGCTGAGGATTGAACCCAGACCTTGTGAGTGCTAGGCAAGTACTGTTGTTGGGATTGCAGCTATGTGCCACCTTGGTGAGTTTTATTTTTTGTTTTCCCCTTGTTTTTTCAAAGCAGGGTTTCTCTGTATAAGAGTTCTGGCTGTTCTGGAACTTGCTTTGTAGACCATACTGGCCTGTTGAACTCACTGAGATCTACCTGCATCTGCTTCCAAGTGCTGGGATTAAAGGTGTACACCACCACCCAAGTAAAATGAAATGTTAAGGGCAGGGGTAATGGTTCAGTGGGTGAAAATCTTTAGTGGTGGAGGGTGGTGGGGGTAAAGAGAACCCAGGAACTCACAGCCAGTCCAGTTCAGAGATAGACCCCGACACACACACACACACACACACACACACACACACACACACACACACACACACACACAGTTCACCTGTCACTCTGTGAGGCGACCAGTTACAGGCACTTTCCCCAGCGAGTAAACTGAAGCTGGGAGGGGTGAGGTCACTTGCTAAAGTTTAATCTTAAGCCAGACAGAGATCTTGTGTGTGACATGCTATTTGGCCAGTCCTCAACACACACACACACACACACACACACACACACACACACACACACACACACACACACACACACACACACACGGATATATTGTGACACACATAAAAAATGAGACTTGAGTGGTAGAGCACTCTTATGGCATGCACAAGGCTCTGGGTTCAATGTTAATCGTTTTATATTGTTTTTTGTTTGATTTGCCATACCAGGGACTAAAATAATTGCAGTTTGCCTTAAAAACCAACTTAAGTCCTCTCTAATTTTAGGAAGTGAGAAGAGAGATACTGAAATATGTAATGTGTCAAGGATTTAATAGAACTATGTACAGATTGTTGTGAGAATGCAGTTTTGCCTATTTGATGGCATCAGAGGTGACACAGGAAATGTTGAGCCGAATTAGATTCTGAAGGATGAGTAGGCCAATGGTTCTCAACCTATGGTTCACGACCCCAGGGTCAAATGACCCCCTCACAGGGGTCACATATCAGATATCCTGTATGTCAGATATTTACTTTACGACTCATAACATAGTAAAATTACAGTTATGAAGTAGCAACAAGATAATTTTATGATTGGGGGGGTCACCACAACATAAGGGACTGTATTCAAGCTGTCGCAGCATCAGGAAGGTTGTTTCTAGGTGGAGAAGTCAGCCTTTAACACAGTAAGTGCAAGAACCTACAGACTTTATGTTTAAGGAATGTGGGAATTCTGGTTTGGCTAGAATTACTGGCATTGGATAGTGGAAGTCCAGGCTGGAGTCCGTTTATAAGGGTTGGTTTTGACTCTAGACTCTGTCTTACAGGTAATCAGTTGTCTAGAAGTTTCTTTTTTAAAAGAAATATATTTAAAAGAATATATGTGAAAAAAATATTTATTTGGGAGTTAGTATTATCTCTGAGGTGGGCTCTTGCTATACTGTTCAGGCTGCTCCAAACTCCCCTCCCCTAGAAACTGAAAATAGTAGCATGCTACTGTATCCACTTAGGTACATTCCGGAAATCTAAAAAGAGGGAGAGAGGGAGAGAGGGAGAGAGGGAGAGAGAGAGAGAGAGAGAGAGAGAGAGTTGGTTCTCTCCTACCACATATCTCTACCTTCCAAGTGCTATAGTTAGAGACATGTACCATTTTTGCCCACCCAAAAGAAAGTTACTGCCTTTTTGTTGTTTGTTTGCTTATTTTGAGACAGGTTCTTTCTCGCTCTCTCTCTTTTTTGGTTTTTCAAGACAGGGTTTCTCTGTAGCTTTGGAGGCTGTCCTGGAACTCACTCTGTAGACCAGGCTGGTCTCAGACTCACAGAGATCTGCCTGCCTCTGCCTTCCGCGTGCTGGGATTAAAGACATATGTCACCACTGCCACCCAGTGAGACAGGTTCTCTTGTGTAGACCAGGCTGGACTGAGCACTGTGAAGGTGTGAGCTCCCACATGCCTGGCCTTGCCTTTTTGTTTTTACTTTTTGCAGTATGGGAGGCTCCATGGTTCTTCTGCTCATTTTAAAATGTGTTATCCTTTTACTATTGAATTGTAAAAATTCTTTTTTATGTAGAGTCTGGCTACTAAACTAGTATCATATCACATATGATGGAAAAAAATTGATTTGTAAAAATTTACTCCCATTCTCTGTCTTTTCACTTTAGTAATATCTTCTGAAATGAAAGATTTAAACTTTGATGAAGTTTAATAACACTCTGTACTTTTATTCATTCATTCATTCATTTTTGGTTTTTTTGAGACAGGGTTTCTCTGTGGCTTTGGAGGCTGTCCTGGCTGGTCTCGAACTCACAGAACTCCACCTGTCTCTGCCTCCCGAGTGCTGGGATTAAAGGCTTGCTCCCTGGTTTTAAATTTATTTTTCACATTCCAATCCCAGTTCCCCCTCCCTCCTCTCTTCCCACTCCCTTCACTCCCCACCTCCTCCCTTCTGCTCCATGGAGAGGGTAAGGACTCCCCTAGGAAGTCTACTAAGTCTGTCCCATCATCTCGTTGAGGCTGGACCAAGGCACCTCTCCACCCCCACACTCCTGTGTCTAGTCTGGGTAAGGTATTTCTCCATATAGTTTGTGCATTAGTGTTAGATCTTGGACCCACTCCATTGGCCTCATATTGTCCCAGCTACACCATTGTCAGACTTGTACTTTTAAGAAAACATGGTATAAGCCAAGCAAGTGTTAACCCAGCATTCTGGAAGCCTTAATGGGGATTACTGTGAATTCAAGGCCAAACTGGACTGCATGGTGAATTCTAGGACAGCATGGGCTACAGGCTATCTCCAGATTCCCTTCTCTCCATATTGCCTAATTCAAGGCCATAAAGATAATGGTTATGGAAAAAAAATAATGGCTGTGTTTCTTGTTTGCTTGATTTGTTTGTTTTTTCCCTGTATTTTTAGTTCTTCTGTTTAGTTCTTTGTTTGATTATGAGTTTGTTTATTGTAGATTTTCCTCTGTGAAATAAGAGTCCAAATTCATTCCTTGGCATATATAAAATCCTTTGTCAAAATACCATTTGTCTTTTATTTGTTCTTGTCAAAAGAAAATGGACCATAATGTAAGGCTTTATGTCTAGACTTTGAATTGTGTAACCCATATTACCTGTCCTGATGCTGATGTCACTGTAACTTATATTATCATGCTTTTGTAGAAGTTTGAAATCATTAAATGTGAATTGTGGCTGGAAAGATGACTCAGCAGGTAGAGGCCATATTGCTCTTCCAGAAGACCAGAGTTAGGTTCCCAGGACCCATGCGGGGTGGCTCACAATTACCTCTAATTCCAGATTCAGGGTATCTGACACCTTTCTGGACACTGTGGACACAGTATATACACATAGTTAAAAATTTTTAAGCCAATAATTTGAAATGTAAATGCCCATTAACAGAATGGATTGGGAGAGAAAAGGAAGAATATTCAAAGAACATAATGTAGGATCAGGCAGTTAGATTCGTAATGAAAAGAATATGTAGAAATGTGGTAGGGGTTGTATATGATGTGTAGCTCAGTTTGTAGGTACTGTACATTTTGAAGTTCTTGAAATTCCTTTGCTTACATCTCTTTCCTTTCTCCAGTGATGTTTTATAGTTTTCATTGTTCACATCATATCTATGTTTTTTTAAATTTTACATCACTGGGTATTCCCA